GGTCGTTGGGGGTTATTTATTTATGCTTGTGGCGTACGGAAGGGAAGGAGGATTGGATTATTGGGGATGGTGGATTAACTTATTTCAAACCCTCCCATTTTATTGACCTAGCTACACTCTACTTTGCCTCATTTCACATTGATTAAGTAAAATTACAATATATCCCTCACATTTACTTCCAGAGACTTTATGTTTAGTATAGTTATTTCCTAACGCATATGGAAAAATCGAATCTGAGGATTAAACTCTTAACAACCATTGCGTTGCCAACTTAGCTACGGCCCTCGGGAGTCATTCGCATTTTCAATGCTCGTCCGTTGGCATCTATGATTAAAGGTTTGAGTGATTCTGACAAGAAAAGATGGGTTCAAAATAATTCTTGAGATCGGTTTGGTCTTGGAACGATAGTTCTTGAGACCACTTTGGGTGATGAAATCAATATTATTGTGAGATATTAAAACTAACAAAGGAGATAATTTTAAACATTTGGGTGGATGTAGGTGTGGGTCGTAAAAATAAAAAAATTGAATAAAAAATGACCAAATTTGGCAAAAAAGTAAACATACCAAAAAACAGAATTTGAAAACTAAAAAATCAAATTGAATCGTTTTGGTTTTGGTTTTAGACTTTGAAAACAGAACCGAAGTATTTTCAAACGAAGTATACTAAGGAGTAAGAAGTTTAAAAGTATTTTTAAAAATGTGTTTCTTTTCTTTATCTTTTATTCATATACAAACTTCGCATTATTTACTCTTTAATTTATTGTGGTCACACATTCTGACTTGCTAGTAACTTTTTCTTTAGATATTATATATGAAGTGGGACTTGAAGAAAATAACTAAAATGCCTCAAGAATTTCAAGATAGTGAAAAAGCATAAATACTTTGTTATTAGATTTCAAGAGTTGATCTGTTCAAATATTCAATTCAAAGATCGAGTTTGCTTTGTCATTGTACTTACTATTTTTAGGAGATGATTTATTTTTTAAAAGTTGGTTTTTGTTTCATTTATAAAGTTTAGTTGCTCGTTTAATAGTTACTTGGTTGTTACATCATTAAAAAAGTTTTAACATGGAGCTTTTTTTTTACAAAAAATGGTATACTTTGTTAAAAGAACTTACTTTGTCCAAAAAATAAAGTTTTTTTTGTTTTTACCTCATCTAGTGGTTACATTTTTTTAATGCTTCTAGTTTTTAATTTCTAAAACCCCAAAATAAAAAAACAGCATAAAATCGTACCGGATAATCAATGATTTTAATATTTTAGGAGCAAAAACAAAACAAACCCTGAGAGCATGGGGGCAGTTCTCGGCTTCTGTGTCCCTTTCTATTCTCTCGAGCTCTATAAAAAGTATGCAGCTTTACTATTTTTCGATCATGCACACAAAATTTATTTTTGGAGAGAGAGAGAGAGAGAGAATGAGTGAGAGAGAGAGATAAGGGACGACAAGTTGTTAGGGATGCTTATAATTGTTTTTGGAGAGAAAGATACAATAAGGGAAGATGAGCCTATGATTATGGCGGTTGACTATTAATGACACCGGCTGTCGATGGTGCATGATCGAAAGAAAAGAATTGGATTTTTAAGAGAGAGATCTTAACTCTGATACCATAATGCAAGTTGATAATAATTGGTCTTATTGATTAAGATGGGCTACATCAATATCTAGAGAGAATACAACAATAACAACAACAACCCAGTTGAATCCTCTGGGGAGGGTGTGTGTACGCAGACCTTGCCCCTATTCGAAAGTATGGAGGTTGTTTCCAAGAGACCCCCGGCTCAACCTGCACAAAAAATATGGTAGGGAACACAATATAACAGGATAACAAGATATAACAGGATAAAGCATCAAGTACAATGAAATGAAAGTCCAGCAAGCAAAAGTAGAAGCTACCAAACAAACACAACACACTACAAAAAACCTATACAGCACCGAGCTCCTAACCAGCTACTCTAATCCTAGTCCTCCAAAGGTTCCTATCTAAGGCCATATCCTCAGTCAGGGTGAGAAGTCTTAAATCCTGCCTAATCACCTCCTTCCAATTCTTCCTAGGTCTACCCCTTCCCCTACTTCCCCCGATAACCGTGATCCTCTCGCACCTCCGCACAGGGGCATCAACATCCCGCTGTCTCACATGCCCAAACCATCTCAACCTCGCTTCCCGCAACTTATCTTTCACCGGCGCCATGCCTACCTGACGTCGAATAACTTCGTTCGAAATCCTATCCAACCTTGTCTTCCCACACATCCATCTTAACATCCGCATCTCCGCCGTATGCAAAAACGACGCACATGAGTCTTCTTAACCGCCCAACACTTTGCCCCGTAAAACATAAAGAATTTTAATTAAAGTAGAATAAAGAATTATGGTAACAATAGAATAAGGAAAGTAATTATAATAATATTCTATATTCTGTTATCTCTGATTATTAATTTCTAATAATCATTTTTGTAACAACAACGACCTCACTTGGGTCTACCTCGCTCTTGGGTTGTTATTAAACATTAACCCATACACTTTCCTCATGAGCTCTAGCTGCGCGCTCACTCACGGGCTCGATGATACGACTTTTGTTTATGCACTACAACTTAGCCTGTTAGGTCACCAGAACTTATTATTCCTACATAAATGGTATGAGTAGGGTGTATTGATCCTACTCCCAATATACCAATTAGGACTAATAATGTTCTATGAAGACAATTATACTCTTCATTACAAATTTATTCAACCATATCACCCTACGTATTTAATTGATAATAATTCAATAGACGTAACTATCCTTACGACCTAATTAGGGTTTTCTTTGGGTGTTTGTATGTATGTATGTGTGTGTGTGTGTGTGTGTCTATATATATATATATATATATATATATATATATATATATATATATATATATATATAGAGTTTGGTTCCGGTGAGAAAACGATCTAATGAAAGAAATAAGAATAAATTATACACCGTTAGATCTGATCTCATGTCAATATTCTTTCAGAATCTACTCAGGGATATATTTGGATTTTTACATCTCAACCGTATCTCTCTCACCTCTCTCATTAGTCGTTCCTAAATCAGCGCCCTATTTCTGGTTCTTTCTCTCAGTTTCCTTTTCTCGCTACCGGAAAATCAACGCATCATCTACAGTGACTCCATAGCTTCAATCTATGGTACCTTTTCAGCCCATGGCGTTCCAATTCACAGGATTCACATGAATTTCGTTCCACTCTAGGGTTCATGCATAAAATTTTGGAGGGATACAATTATGGGTTGAGGTATGTGTATTTTAGAATCTGATTATCATTTAGGTGTGTGATTAAAATTTTCATCTACTTAATTTGAATTCATACGATTATAGTGTATGTATTTTAGAATCTAATCTCATGGTTGAATTTGATTTAAACTTTTAAGTCTTCATCTTTTTTCCCAAGATTTCTTGCACATATTCTGGCCTCGTACAAAAGTCTTCAAGTAATACCTTTGATAGTAAATTGTCATATGTGCTACTTGGCAATTTCTATTCTTTTCTATTGGATAAAGTCATTTCATTT